GCGGGCCCTGGGCGGAGCAGGAATGCGGGAGGGTAGCGCCGACCGGGGCGCAATCCTGCCCCTTCCCTCCGGTGGGTCCTGGGGACTCAGCGTCTAAAGACGCTTGGGGAGCCGGGTGACGTCCTTCCCACCTCGCACTAGCCGCGGCAGCCTGTCGGACGGCCCGCAGGAGGCCCCGCCTCGCCCCAGCCGGGGATTTGGACTCCAGAGCACAGCCGGCGGGGCCCACGGGACGCCGCCACTCCAGAACCCCAATTCCGCCGCCGCCAGCGGCCTCCTCTGGCCCTGACGTCGACTCCTCCCGCCGTTCCCTTCAAGCCGGGATGCGCTCCAGTTACAGCGCGGCCCCCAGCCGGGACGCCCGGGCCGAGAGTCGCCTAAGTAAACACGGCTCCCGCCGAAGTGCTTTGGGAGCCAGGGACACGCCCAGGAAGAGTCGCCCCGAACAGGAGCAGGAGGTGGAAAGGAAGGAATGCCTGTCCGACGGGCCTGTGCGTGCCAGATGCCGGCCGGGCTGCCCACCCGTGCGCACACAACCTGCCCTGCACCTCCGCGCTCCCTGGGGCGGGACCTTGGAGTCCTGGCCACTCAGTCCACCGCGGGCCAGAGACCAGCGCTCTCCGGGTCGCCCCTGACTCCCCCCAGTGGCTACCGGAGGACGCTGTCTGCTCTTCCATTTGTCTCGGACCGCTTCTTGTAAACACTTTATCTATGGACTGCAAAGCCTGCGGTCCACCCTGCAGTCCCCTCCCAGATTCCGGCCAGGAGGAGGCCAGGGAGCTGCCTTCTACCCTGGCCCACGGCATCCCTGACTTGGGACAGAGAGCGGGGCAGGCCAGAAGGACAATGGGGTCTCTCCCCAGCCCCTGTTGTCAGCTCCCGTTGTCTGGATTTGGGGGCCTCTCTCCCCACTGCAGAGAGCTGGAGAGAACCATCCTGCCTGCTCTTCCCCCACCCCATCACCTCCCAGGCCCTGAACCCTGGGAGGCGTCCCTGGTGCTGGGGCTTCTGGGAGGAGGCCGCCGCCATCACTGCGGATTGATTAAAGTCATTGTGCAGATTTTTAACATTTAATTTACCAGGCCTGCGGCCGCAGTCAAAACTATCCCTGGGGAAATCTAGGCCAAGGGAGCAAAACAGAGAAAACCTTCTGCAAGTGAGCCGGGCCTCCTCAGGATTCATTGCCTGAGCTCAGCTTCCAATCAGACCCGCACAGCAATATTTCAGGGAGGCTGGAGCGGTCAGGTTCCTGCACTGGGCACAAGCATGGCATAAGGAGCCTGACCCACAGCCTGCTGGCCTTTCAAGGGAGGGGCACGGTCCCTGCAGCCAGCACTTGCCCAGTGAGGAGGGAACCAGGCCTTGCTTCCAGGGCACACAGGAAGACGACCTCCAGGCTGCAGCAGGAGAGTGGCTGGCCCTAGCCCGCCCTCCTCCGGGACAGTGGACAGACAGCAGGTGGGAAGGGACCTCTCAGGACAGTGGCCTGGACAAGACACAGGGACAGGCATGTGGAGTGCAGAAGAGCACGCTTGTCCTTCTAAGGCACATTCGTGCCGCTGGCAGGGACATGAGAAATGCAGCTGCTGCCAGCACGCTGGGGCCGGAGAGGCCTTTCCTCCATGTTACACCCTCCTGGTGGTCTCACTTGCACGGTTGTTACCCCAGCAATAAGACTCTGAGCCCCACACTCAGCAGGACCCCGCTGAGTGTCAACAGACCCTCAGCTCTTCCAGACTGTGTGGGGTGGGGAGAAGCTCCCCTCACCTCCAAAGGGGCCTTGGGACACCCCCACATGCTTGCCCTGGGGGCTCACCACACTGCCCCACCCAGCCCCAGGAGCATGGGAGGCCTGGCTCCCACAGGTGACAGGAGGAGGGTACCTCCAGGGGGCAGCAGTGACCCCAGCAGCCCTGGAAGGTGACTTGGGTCCTCTGCATCAGGACCTAGGGACGATTAAGATTGTCCCCCAGCTCTTTACAGGGCATCTGCATGCTTGGGGCAGAGCCTGTCCACTGCATGTAGCCAGCGCCAGTGCTTGCTGTGGCTGGCTCTGCTTGGCCCACTTGACAGTGTCTGCTCACTCAGTCCTGACCACTGTCCTGGGAGACAACTTCATTGTGATCTCCAACGCTGGGCTCCTCAGACCTGGGACTGCTGCCTCCCTACCCCTCTGCCCCCAGCGCCTGGCCTTAGGACAGCAGC